GTCCTATGCTGTCCGTTAACAGCATGTTAACGGACAGCATAGGACGGTATAGGTCACACCATCAGCGGGTTCATGTTATCCCGTTAACGGCATGTTAGCGGGATAATATGAACACGCTATTGAGCTGGTAATCGCTGTTTAATGTGTAAGAGTTTGGTCGGTTATCGTCCTGATAATATCTATGTTATTGCCCCATTACCGGGGACGTTCTTGTAACTGGCCGCCCGATAAACGACCTGGTAAACCACCCCGGTAATGGAGCCTGATTACGGGTAACTGGCCGATTAACGACCCTAGCCCGTTAACGACCCAGTAACCTTATAGCCTGGTAGGCAGGCGGCTGGCAGAGGTTAAGGCCTGACTTCTGCTCCCGTCGCGTCCCGGCGCGTCCGGGTTCAAATCCGCCTGCCGACCTCTCGGGGTGTTTGAGAGGTGATGAAATGGGAGGTGGCCCCCCATCTTGTGGAAGGTGTAGGACGTGATAAAATCAACTCGCGAGCTGACCAGGAACTAAGTTGACGCGCCGTTGATCCGCTAGATTTGGTTGGATGCTGGTGGTGAGTTGCCGAACCCAACGAATACACTCTGAAGTCGGATGGGGTGAATGGCTTAGGGTGCCCCTCTAGCAGGGGAGAGCAGGGAACTGCCTCGGGAAGGAGGCCGCTGGTGAAGCTTAACCACCCTGTAACAACATCAACAATCAGCCTGGTAATCGAGGCCGGTTACCAGGCGTTCCCATTATTGGGCCAATAACATGCGGTAGGGAGGCCAACCGCAAACACCACTAGCTAAATCCCTGTGCACCTATCGTAAATGGCAGGAATGTATGGATGCTATTGGCGCTCTTCTAGATGATATTCCAGCGAATTGGAGACAGGCGGCTAGTCTTTTGTTGCCGCTGAGTGTAGAATCTAGGGAAGCAATGGTGCCCCCTATTGAGTCGGTTACCCAAACCCTAGTGTCGAGGCTTGGTTGGAGATGGGGTGTAGGGCCTCCAATCCGATTCCAACACTTATCCGTTAAAATAGCGACTAATATGCAACTTTCACCTTTTTCGATGGCTCGCCGTGTGGCCCATACCCTTTTCATCAAAGAGGCGACGGGTTCTTCTGAGATATTGGATGAAGCTATTCTTCTTTTGCAACGGACATTCCATCGTTTATGGTTTCATTTACGGTGGGAAAATGAACAAAAAGAGGTTTGGTGGCGTCTCGCAGTTGATGGGGTGCCTATGTTAGGAATTCCCATCTTAGGATGTCGCG